GATTATTCTAAATCTTACCTGGAAGGTGGTAATGGAAACAGTGATGCTCTCTGCCCACCACCTAACACCACTGAAGTCCACAATTCTGTCTTTGGTTTCTTCTTCCCAGATCATCTTACCTGCCACAGACTTGTGTGACTGCTTTCATGCAGTGAAACTCAAACATCTATGTCCAGCACCAAATTTTTTGAATGCCTGATTCAAATTTCTACCTCTCTGTTGGCAGTATCTACCTTTTCTATTCTAAGGAAACCAAATTCCTGGTGTTCAACACCAAACTCACAATATTTCTTTACTAATGAATGTCTCTTTTTTCTATAGTGTTAGAAAAATTAGAATGTGTTCCTGATCACATGCAGACCAGCGACAGAGGCTATACTGACTCCTTACTTCCCTCCTGTTGCCTTTCCTGGGTCTATCCTCAATCCTCTTCACATTATTATTATTATTATTATTATTATTATTATTATTATTATTTTATTAATTTTATTGAGAAACAATAATGAGACAGTTTCAAAACAGGATAGTAGGACAGTTACAATAATTAATACATTGCATATTGTTGTCTTCATAGTAATTATTCATAGTACAAGATGCAGATATGATATCCTGCCCAAACACTATTAGTACAAATCTTACTTCTCATTGAATTAAGAGAAAGTAGCTCTATATCTATCCTAACTATTTTGTATATACAGATACAAAATGATCCTTCATTTATATCCCCCTTTTTCATTTAGTTTTGTCAGAGATGGGTATTCCATTACCATTTAAATATTGTAGGTGTGTGAATACAGCAGAATAATCCATTATAGTCCAGTAGTCATAGTGGGTTATCTGCAGGACTGTGCAGACCTCAAAAGTCATCTCTGAAATTGCTGGGCTCCAGATCATGTTCCCTGCTGTAGCTGTGCTTTCTACCACACATTATTATTAAACCTTCACACGGTACCCTTCCTGATGTCATTATTCTAGCTCAGGCTTCTCTTGGTCCCCTACCCCTTTCAAGCACCCCACACAGAGGCTCAGGCTCACAGAGCTTCCTGTCCCTGCCAGTCCTCTTTTATAGAGTGTTTTCTGGTTCATCTCTGTCATCGCTTGCCTGTATTCACAGCCCTGTGCGTCCCATCACAACCATCTTCTAGCATTCTTCTCAACTGCATCTGTGTTCCTGTTTTCTAGCCAACTGTGTATTGACTTCCTCACCCCATAACCTGCCTATTTGAATTGACCCCTTTTCCTTGTCTTTCATCCTCACTTTCCACCTGAGTGAGTCGTGCATATGCTTCATGGGTCAGCTCAAACAGTACATCTTTGATCCTTTAGCAAATCCTTAAGGAGCACTCAGCTGGTTTGAGTTTTCCTTCTGGTGGCTCTTGAATCTTTTCTCCACTAACCCAGATACAGAGTTCCCTGTCTGTACTATATTTGAGAGACACATCCATGGACTCAGATAACACCAGAAAGAAAATACTTGAAAGTTTTAAAAAATTGGAGAGGCAGAGCTTTAGCTTCCCATATGCTGAACATTATGCTGAATCCAGTCACGTGAAGTGTGCCAGCCTAGGTAGCCATCTGTCACTTCACTTGTCCTCAGTCTCTCGCCAAGCACTGCTCCTATGACCATGGGTCCTGATACATCATCCATGTCCTACTTGGCCAGGCCAGCGGCAGTTGCATGAGTACTGAACATATAGTTTTTTTTTTTTTTGGTTTTGTCATTATTCCCTAAATAACACAGTGTAGCAACTATTTACACAGGATTTATATGGATATCAGATGTTGTAAATGTTCTACCAAAAAATCAAAGTATACAGGAGGATATGTACAGACTATATGCAAATGTTACTGCATTTTACATAAGAGAGGTGAGCATCCACAAATTTGGGGATACATGGGACTCCTTAGACCAGTCCTCCATGTTATTTACATTATAATATGTGCTATAACCTTTTGAGACCAAAGAACATGTTTTCTTCATCTTTATGTCACCTACAGTGTCTATTATATACTGGGATTTCATAGATTCTCTTGAATAAATTGATATTTAATTATTAAGCTATTAATCAAAAGAATAATCTATAAATTGAAATAATGTAATAACCACAATCATTAACCTGCTAATAAAGTACTAATTAACCTTAAATAAACTCAGTAACCTAATTACTAATTACTGATAATAATCCAAAGCTACTTGAGTCATCTTGGTTTTGATATTCTGACAACCCAGCTTTGTGGCTAGTTTAGGAATGATTTTCTGAGGAATTTTTTATTTTAATTTTAATGACAATATTGGGTTAATAAGGTGGGCATGTTGGTTCACACCTGTAATCTCAGGGCTCTGAGAGGATCACAAGTTCAAGTTCAGCCCAGGCAATTTAGTAATTCTACAAGATCCTTAATATACTTAAAGCCATCAGCCTTTGCTAAAGAAAGGAAGTGGGAAAGGAGGGTTGTACCAAGGCCCCAAGTTCAGTTCCAAGTACTGCATCTATCTATCTATCTATCTATCTATCTATCTATCTATCTATCTATCTATCTGCTATCTCTCTGTCTATCTGCTATCTCTCTGAAGTCAGCTGGACTCCCTATGCCATGGCAGGTGGCAGTGGCAACCTTCCTAGGTGGAGCATCACGTGAGGAGTGATGGGAACCTGGGCTCTGTTGTAGAACAGACTGGACTTGGAATTCTGACTTTGCTCTTGCTAACTGTGCTACCTTGGGGTAAGCACCTCTAAACCTTCTTTCCCTTATTTGTAAATGGAAGCAATAATATGTCTGTCTTGTCCTGTGATGATGGCTCTACTCCCAGAATCATTTAAAAAAAGAAGTTATTCTTGGGGCTAGGAGTACAGCTCAGTGGTAGAGCCCTTGCCAGCATGTGTGAGACCACTGGGATTGATACCTGGGATCCTGGGATTGATTGCCCAGATTGGAGAGAGAGAGAGAGAGAGAGAGAGAGAGAGAGAGAGAGAGAGAGAGAATGAGTAAACCATCTTTCCCTGAGAGACTACACAATCTGAGTAGAATTGCTCTAGGTTCTATGGACTTGCAAATACTGGACCAGGCTATGTAATTTCAGAGTCATACTGGAAAGTTGAAACAAAAGGGCAGGACTATTAGTGCCCATTTTCCTGGCATGGGAAGATGGAAAGCTGGCTGTGCCTCTGCTCATGAATCACACAGATGACAAGCACTTCAGGAAATACCCTTTTGGTTGGGAGAAAATTCTCAGCCATCTATACTTGCCCCAGTCTTCTTTATCAACAGACTTTCTCAACATTAGATCACCTGGGTCCCCTGAAAAGCCAGCATAGTTGAGGACACAAGGAATAGTCCCACGAAACATTTCCATTCATAGAACATCAAAAGGCGGGAGGATAACAATTACTCAGTGTTGAATATCTGCCATGTGTTAGGACGGTTTTATACATAATTGCAGCTATTCTTCTTAGTAACTTTAGAAATAGGCACTCTAATCTCCACTGTTCAAGTCAGTAGAAGCTCAGTTAGTCCAGAGACAGTACAGCTAGTGAATCTCACAGGAAAGCAGTGAACCCAGCTGATCTGTATGTTTAGCCTTCGAGGAGGCTTTCACTGTGATTGGACCAAATTAGCCATATGAGATGAGGTTAACTTAAGCTTCTATATCCGGGAAGTTGTGAACCAATAGGATTAATCATTCTCCACCTAAGTTCTTTAGGGAAATCGCTTTCAGAAATAAGTGTTCAGGAAAGCTGGAGCCCTGCTTCCTCCCTTGTGATGCTGATGATGGTAGATGCACTTCAAGAAAGGCTGATGCTTGCAAACTTCTTACACATATAGGCTCAGAATGTTAGCGCATGCTTTTTCTGGAAGAGTGAGGCAAGTTCCAATTAGAGAAAGAGTCAAGTAAGGTGAAAATCTGGCTGAGTGTTCTCAAATCTGGAAGACTTTAATCACATGTCTTGTAGGAAACTAGAAAGTGGAGGAAACTTTCTGAAGATGTGTGCCATCTAGTCTTGCTTTGCACAACTATTTTATTCCCATTAAGAAATTGGCAGCTTACAGTAGCCATTCAGTAACATACAGCAACCCTCCATCTAACTGTATATGTGAAATCATACCATTAAGAGGATATGTAGGTCACCGGACAGGAAGGAGTTCAAAATTATTTTCATAATAATACTAAAATGTTTTTATTGTTTCTTTAGCTCTTTGTGTCCCTTGAGTTTTCAAAGGCTAAATGACAGGTGGTATTACAGCAAACTGAGTCCAGAAGCAGATATAATAATAATCCCAATGTGTTTGAGGCCAGACATCTAAAAGGTGACCAAACATGTAAGAAAATGCTAATCTTCTCCCCAAATTTGCTTTGAAAGAAGGTTATTTTAATTTTTTTTTTTTTTTTTTTTTTGCAGAACTAGGGATTGAACTCAGGCCCCTGCGCTTGCCAGGGAAGCGCTTATTCCACTGAGCCAGCTCTCCAGCCCCAGAAGGTTATTTTTAAAAATAAAAATTTTTAAAAACATAATTACTGTCCTTTGAGGAATTAACATAGAATACACTTAACATTTTCAGTGTCATCCAGGACCAGTGGTGCATGCCTACAATCCTAGATACGTGGGAGGCTGAGGCAGGAGGTACACAAGCTTAAAAATAGTCTGGGCAACTTAGCAACCTAACAAGACCCTATCTCGAAGTGAAGAAAAAAAAGAATAAAATCCAAAAGAATAAAAAAAGCTGGAGATGTATCTATGGGAGCCTCTGGGTTCAGTCCTCAATACTGCAGAAAAAAAAAAAAAAAAAAAGGAAAACTTCAACTTTATTTTGTAAGTGGGCAACTGTCAGGAGATATAAACAAAATTCCTCCAAGGTCCTCTGTATTGCATCCAAGCCTTCACAGCTCAGTGTTCTTGGAAGTTGTGTTGTGTAGCTGTGGACAGGAATGCCATGGAGGAGCGAGTGAAGCAGAACTCTGTAATGTAATTTTGCTTTCTCTCTTTTCCTTCTCCATAAAGGGAGATCTCCAAGTGGCCCGGGGTTGAATGCTCTACAATGTTTTGAAGCTGTGGTTTGAATTGTTTTAAAGAAGCTGAAATAATTGAAGAAAGGCAGAGGCCAGCTGTTTTTTGAGGACCCTGCTGCAGGGAGACTATTCTGCACGCATTGATGTAAGTAGAGCTGGTCACTGCTCTGTCACTGCAGGAGTCGAAGGTGGTAGCTGGAGACGTGGCTCCCTTTGAAGCTTTCATTCATCCTGCATATGGCAGGAGGATCATTGGGCGGTTGGGCTCAGTGTCTAGAGCCAAGGACATAGGTGTTCGCTTATATAGAAAATGTGATAGTGGATGCCAGTTAACGCTTTCTACTTCTGCGGATTCAGTTGTAATCAGCCCTGGCTTAGAAGATAGTCTTGGGTGTCCTGGGTCACAGCTCTGAGTAAGCCAGAGTATCTGGTCTCATGCTGGGACTTCTAATCTCCACTGGACCTGTTGGAACCTCTGGGATCCTTAGGTGAATGTGTATTTTCTAATAGGATAATCTCATTAAAATTGTTTTATAAGCTGTGCTCTTTTAGCAATATTTTTTTATTATATTGTATATTCTTATCTTCAAAGTAGTTGCTCATATTACAACATATAGGCATGAAAACTTGATCAAACAATATCGGCACAAACCAATGAAATAATACCATAGGAGTATAACTAACTTAACTGT